GCATGCGTGCGGCCTGGGTTCGATCCTCAGCACCACATACCAACAAAGATGTTGTGTCCGCCAATAACTAAAAAATAAATATTAAAAATTCTCTCTCTCTCTCTCTCTCTCCTCTCTCACTCTCTCTTTAAAAAAAATACAGTTTGCTATTATATACAAAATGTTTAAAGGTCATTTTAAAAACCAAGAAAACATCACTAATTCCTTAAAAATTTTATTATCAAATTAAAAAAATGAATTTCAAAATAGGGTGCCGCCCCCCAAAATAGACTACTTATTGCCTATAGCTGTAACAGCATGAATAAGCCTAATCTCAGGTCTTGGAAAATATACTATTTATAATACCAAAATAATTCTGTAAGCAGTTATAAATTAAGAAAAGTCCTATTAAAAACAACAGGTAAGTCTTCAGTAGTAAGTCCACTTAAGAAATTAAGTTCAAATGGAAAACTAGAGGAACTATAGATTTTGATGTTTTATTATAATTTAAAAATCTCACAAAGCAAAATTATCTACTTTTTCTGTCCTGCTCCTACTTGTTCCTCCCCAGTTTTTACAGAAAGTGCAAGTGTTTCTTTAAAAACAATGAAAAAAGAACTTGAGTTCACTCACTGTCATGTTTTCACTTATGATATTACTTACGACTAGACTTATTTTATACAGATGGTATTACCTGTTTATACTAATATCATCGAAGTTCTAATATAATAATTTGCTTTTAACAACAACAAAATGATCCTTGACTCTTAAATATGGCAAGTTACTAAGTTTAAATGTCAGACAATTGGTAAATTAAGTTCTCAACTTCTGATTCAAATTCTAGGAATAAAATTCACAGGAGATATGTCCATTCACTTGAAACTAAGACTCAGTCAGCTTCTTCCCTGACCCAGATGTTAAATTACCTAAGGGAACCCCATCAGAAGATTTTTAAAAATCCTTTACAGAAATCACCTCCATGATATTCTCCTTGAAATTTACAAATAGATCACACATCCATAGGTTTCTYCAAATGGACTTTAAGGTAGTCAGTATCAACTCCCTTAGAAATGCACTATACTAACACAACTGATTGTATAGAGACAGAACCAGCACTTAGTGTCCAATGTCATTTAAGTTTCAGTTCCTGCTGTCCTGCTTTAACTAGTACAAAAAAAAAAAAAAAGAATCTTTCTAATTATGATTCTATGTATTTTTGTTTCTTTGAATTGAATATGAATATTTCAACCAGTTATCTACAAATCCCCATTAGACTAATTTCATATTTATAAAGCTGGTTAATCAATTTCTAATAAACACATGACAATCCTAATTACTTCCTAAGGGAGGATAGTGTTTTAATGTCTATTGTTTGGTTCTTATTTCAAAAGTACAGAATGACATTTACTGAAAAGCTATAATATAGCATGTAATGAATGCAATTTTCAAATATTTTTCCCATAAATATTCAGGAGAAATCAAATACTTACCTCAGCTAAAGTAATAAGAAGAGGATCAAATGGAAGGTTTTCAGGAGGACAGTCCCAATGTAGTCTGTGTTTTACTGAACCATGTACCAATCTAAAATACAAAAGTCAGTGAAGGTAACGAGGAAAATATAAATTATGTATTAAGCAGTGATCTTCTAATATATATATTAGAAGAGTATAATCACATTAGAATTATCTACTTTTTCCATGATATACAACTTGGCATATCATAACTTTAAAAGTTATTACAAGGGCATTTTAAAAAATAATGTCTATAATCTTGCAAAGTCCTATTCTTTCAGAAAAAATTGTTTGGTAACTCCATATTTGTTAAATCTACAATTATGGTATTTAAGTATGTTACTATTTGTGAATCTTAATACAAATGCTCTAGCAGATTATCTTTCAATCCAATTATAACAAAATAGATAACCTATAGAAATGAAAAATTCAAATGTATAATAATTAGGAAAAGTAATGATTTATAAAAAATCTTGTTTTTCAGATAGAGATCAYTTAACCCTAATAGTAATAATTTGAAGGCAAATCAGGTTTAGTCCTTGTTAAAGAGGTGAAATAATAGCCCCTTCAGGTTTACAAAGCAGAAGCCCCTGAATTAGAGTATCTGCTGCTCCCCCCACTTTTTGACTGCTATTATCGAGGCTTAGCTGATACACAATAAATTATACATAGTTAAAGCACACGATTTGATAAATCTCAGTAGATGAACATGCTCAAGAAGCCACTGCCGCAACCATGACCACAATCTTATTAATCACCCCCACATATTTCCTCATAGTTTTTATAATGGTCTTGATTTCTTGGCTTCTTCTTTAGTGTTATTTTTATATTAAGCAAGAGGCAAGAGGTTCTATAATGCTACTTGAACATTTTCAGCAAAACCAATTGTTTGGCGGGAAGAGACACTTAAAAACCTTGAAATGGGGTTTAATTCAGAATTCAAATATGGAATAATAACAAAGAATTGAAAAACATATCTTGAGCTTATTTTCCACTCAAAATTTGAAAATACCATTTAAAACTATTTTTTTTTAAATTATAAGACTAAAAGAAAAAATATTACTGTGACTAGCTTTTCCACAATGAAAATAAAATTTTCTATCAATAAGATCAGGCTAAAATATATGTACTATGAAGAAATGTAGCAGGAATGATATGCAAAGGAAGTAAAAGCAGCCACATGGACTTATTAAGAATATTACTTCATTAAATTGTCAACTTTCACTTTTGCTCAAGTGCATAAATGCTTAAACTGATTATTTTAAAAGTGGTTCATTCAATTAGGTGGTAGTTTACCATAGAACTCTGTAATTACATTTTAGAATTAAGGTTATCTTGAACATGTCCAGGGATCTATATCAATTCAACAGCCAGAGTAATACATCATTTTTATTTCAACCTTGAAAGTTAAAACTTTCACTATGTCTAAACTGAATACAGTATTGATTTTAGTCAATTATTTTGAATAATATGATCAGTTATAAATTATATTGATTTTACCTGCAAGGAATACCTCCTTTAGAGTAAATAGCTGAGAATGCAGAAGGAGCCCTTGTCTGTYCACCAAACTGAAATGAAACAAAAATATTTCTATCACCTCCACTCTGTAATACCCAGTAAATTTTAATCCTGTTGAAATTAGAAGCAAATAGACACCCTGACTTTCATAACACTGTGGAGGTATTATACATGCATCATTAACATTCAGTAACAGAAATGAAAATACTGTCACTCCTGTCCCATCAACAAAGCACAGTGCTTTGTGTTTTAAGCCTCTAACATGTTTCAGAAGGTTTGAAGGTGGCTGAAACCATATATGGATTGACAGGTCTTTCTACTCTCCCTGACTCTGCCTTTTCAAGGTGAAGGTTGCAATGGAGAAGGGGTGCTAAATACAGGGAAATATTTGGTTTTAGCCACCAATATATCTCCCATTTGCTCTCCAGCAAATACAGATGTTGTGTGTGCTCAAAGAATCTGTAGAATTTCTCCAAATTGGCTTTAGGCTTTTATTTAAAAAAAAAAAAAAAAAAAAAAGAATTAGCTTGCAGGCAAGGAGAATGACAGAGACAAAGCTCATGCAAGAATCTCAACAAACAGGGCTGGGGTTGTGGCTCAGCGGTAGAGCATTCACCTAGCATGTGAGAGGTCCTGGGTTCGATCCTCAGCACCACATAAAAATAAATAAAATAAATGTATAGTGTCCAACTACAACTAAAAAAATTTAAACAAAAAAGAATCTCAACAAACATATTTTCGGCTGAACCTTCTTAAGATTATATAACTTCACCACCTTTCACTTTGTTATTATCTTAATAGATGAGTTACACCTACTTTCAAATAATGTAAGAGATGACCAATCACAACGAATTAAAACAATCACAGCACATATAATGTCAACATTAATAATCAGTGACTCAAAGACAATTTAGGCACAAAATATTTTACTACATAGTACTTTAAACATAATCATATGAAACATAGTTACTAAATTATAAAATCAAATGTATTAACATATATTAAAAATATAACTGATTTTTAAAACATCATATGCAGAAATGTAAAAATAGAATGTTTTCAAGTTACTTATTTGATTATTTGAAAGCAACTTTAAAAACTTTAAATTTCTTAGCAAGAATTATATCAACATGAGTGAAACCTTCCTTCTGCTGTGAATTATGACTCAGAATGTGAACTAAGCTTTATAATCAATCCTTCATTTTAATTTAATTTTATATCTCAAGTCATTACTTGTCTTTCACATGTTTTTCCAGAGGAAAAAAGAGCTAATTCTAAACTTGTACCCTGTGCTACTAAAGCATTCTGAAAGTTATCCAGAGTCTTCTCTTTACTAGTTTTGGACTAGTGATGATAGGGCATACCAAAGCTGACTAAACTAGCTCAAAAGAAACAGTGGAAACTTGGGACAACAATCAGAATGGCTCAACACTGACAGGCAAAATCCTATTACCTTTACAAAACTACCAATTTAGGAATATTTATTGTACTTACAGGATTAATTGTTTTAGGGTTAAGTTTATCACTTGGTCGAGGATGAAGTTTTTTTGCAGATTCTGGAGAACCTATTGATGATGAGGATTTGCTTTGCTGAATTGTAGTCCTCTGTTTTACTGGTGTACTTGAGGATGTCCTTTGAAGATAATTACCTGGAAAAAAAAAAACAGAAAATCAACAAAAAAGAGAATGTAATAGAGTCATCCTACATCCATATATAATGTCTTACTAACAAACTTGGCCTCTCCATTTAAAAAAGCAAAGCTGAGGCAGGGAAGAACACACATAATCCCCAGTACCACAGGGAAAAAAAGAAAAACAGCAAAGAAAAGTTCTGTACCTGTCACCCTGTTTCTCAACTGCAAACCTCCAGGGCATTCGGATTTCTGCATAGCTTCTTATTTATTCCTGCAAGTAAATGAAACTTGATTTTGAAATATGTTTATCAACATAAAGACCAAAACAGAATGGAATAAAAAATACAGTAGAAGACACTCAAAAAAAAAATATGGTGCATAGCCAAATACCTGAAAAGACTAATGGAAAAAGATCAAATTATATCAATTTTAATGGTTTCGATAACTGCAAAATAAAAAGAATCTGCAAGAAACAAGAAGCATAAAACATTTTTCCATATAAATTGTCAAAATATACCTTAAGAAAATCAACTGCAATAATCTGCCCACATTAGAAAACATATACTAAGCCTCTAAGAGGGGTGGCCTCTCCATCTTCTTTGGCCTCTGTAATTCCTAAGTTCTTAATGTTATGGCTTGCATATCATGACCTACTTCTTCAGTGACATAATGAAGTCTTCTACCCAATGTTTGACAAGTTCCTTATGCCCACTTAAACTAGGTTTGTCACACTGAAGTTATAAATCCTTTTTAATTCAATGTATACCAATTTTCTGGTTCCAGACACAAAAACTTAGGATATTCACTATCTCCTTTTCCGTCACTTCCTACACTCAACCCTATGGATGTGATGAACATGTGATGAGGAAGACAGGGCTTTGGGCTCATAACTGGATCAGCATCTCAACTTCAATTACAAGATTTATGAATTTAGGCAGATTATTTAGCATCCCTGGGCTTTGACTTCTTGGCCTATTAAAGGAAAGAAATAATAAAACCTTACCAAAGCTGTTGCACGAAGGAATTAATAATGTTATACATCAAGTTGCTCAGCCAGGAAATACTAGTTCACTTCTCCCTCTTCTACAGTTCTGTTTCTACTGATGGATGGGGGTCAAAGGTCCTACTCCAAGAGTTCCCATTTAATCCAACCTAATCATTTCTAAATCTGTTCCTCAAGCAAGGAGTAAACACACACCTCTTCAGACTTATATACCCAACTGTCTGCTTGAATTATAGGTCTAGCTCCATTCCCAATTTCCATGTAGCCTTTCCTAATCTTGGTTTCTCAAATGTACACTTCTATGATACTTGATTTAAACACTGTTTTCTTTCTCTTCTTTTCACTATCTACTTTCCCCTCACTTCCATGACACTAGTTATTCTTCCATTAGTAAACTTCCCAGTTTAGGTGTTTAAAATAGTATAGTACTTTACACTGCCCCTCAACTGCAGTATAAGAAGTTCACTTCCCTGAAAGTGACACAAACACATCCTCTTACACTTCCAAGTGACAGCTTTCCAAATATATAAGGACACCATTTTTTTAGAAGTTTTTATTGGTTCTTTTTAGTTATACATGACAGTAGAACTAATTTTGAGTGTTTGTTTTTGGGGGTTACAGGGGATTGAACTCAACCACTGAGCCACATCCCCAGTTCTATTTTTTGTATTTTATTTAGAGACAGGGTCTCACTGAGTTGCTTAGCGCCTCGCTTTTTGCTGAGGATGGCTTTGAACTCACGATCCTCCTGTCTCAGCCTCCCAAGCTGCTGGGATTACAGGCTTGTGCCACTGTACCCAGCAAATTTTGATATATTTATACTTTTTAGTTTTCTCTTCTTCAGGATTAACAAGAATACTTTCTTAAATAATTGCTCACATGAAAATGATCTTAATCTTCTTGACAAATTAGAAATTGTCAAAAAGACAAAGCTCCATGTAAAAAAATTAGCCAGATAATATTTCAAACATAGTGTATCAGCTTAAAGTTCTAGGCACAGATAAACAAAAGAAAAGACTATTTCTACACATGGAATAATTTTAATTTCCATTTTTTTTTTATTTAATACATTGACTACATTCTCATCCCACAAGCAGCAGGCATCTTTTTAATATCCATGTTACCTTCATCCTCAAGGCATTTTCTACTAATATGATAATAAAAATCTCAGATAATATGCTAAAATAAGCTAAAGATTTAAATATGTTAACCTACTATGACAGCTCAGTGATCACTCAACAAGTACTTACTATTGTGCCTGGCCTCTGTTTTAAGAAGCTCCTGGAGGGAAAATAATATGATGTAAGATTCTATAAAACTTTTTAATTGGAAATAATTACAGTAATTATACTAAGTGTTGATGAAGTCTAAGTTAATAAACATAAAACAAAGAAATAGTTGCACATTGGAAGTATTATATAAATTTTAGCTATTATTTTCTTTTTTAAAAAAAAAGAGAGAGGAGGGAGGGAGGGAGGGAGGGAGGGAGAGAGAGAGAGAGAGAGAGAGAATTTTTTAATATTTATTTTTTAGTTATTGGCGGACACAACGTCTTTGTTTGTATGTGGTGCTGAGGATCGAACTCGGGCCACACGCATGCCAGACGAGCGCGCTACCGCTTGAGCCACATCCCCAGCCCAAATTATTTTCTATACAATGGTATGCTGTAGTTATGAAAAGCATCCCCCAAAAGTCCATGTGTTAAAGACTAATTCCCCAGTCCATAGTGCTACCTACTAGAAGGTGTTAAACATTTAGGAGATGGAGGCTCAAGAGAAGGAAGTTAGGTGACTGGCTAATTGGCACCATGCCTTTGAAGGAAATCTCTGGACTTCAGTCCCTCCTCTTTCATTCTGTTTGCTTCCTAGTTGACCAGAAATGAACAGGTTTTCCCTACCAACCATTCCCTCTATAATGTACTGTCTAACCAAAGGTCTCAAAGTAACAAGCCAAACAAACATGGACTGAAACCTCCAAACCTGTGAGTCACTATAAAACTTTCCTGTTTTTAAGCTGATCATCACTGGTATTTTGTAACATTAAGCTAAGGAAAAGTTGTGTACACATGGTACACAGTTTTTTGTTGTTGTTGTTGTTTTAGTATTATCATTAATATTAATGTGACCACTGTGACTAAATATCTTCTTCTTTTTAAAAACTTTGGTTTAACACCTTGGGCTACATCAATTTGATGATCCAGTTTAATTTCAATTTCTTTTTAGGGAAAATTATAATAGCTGCARGTTGTAGTGGTGCATGCTTGTAATCCCAGCAGCCTAGGAGATTGGGGCAGGAGGATCCTGACTTCAAAGCCAGCCTAGGCAAAAGCATGGTGCTAGGCAACTCAGTGAGGCCCTGTCTCTAAATAAAAATAGGGATGGGGATATGGCTCAGTGGTCAAGTGGCCCTGAGTTCAACCTCCAGTACCCATGCCCCCCCCAAAAGAAAGACAATTATAATAGCTGTCATAGCTTAAAGAGATGATGCACTACAAAGATGCCCACCCACAAACATAAAAATGACGCACATCTTTAAATCCTAACTAGAAACTCTKCAAAACCTTTTTGTGGAATTCTATAGCTGAATTTCTATCTTCCTTTAGGTAAAAATGTTGTTCCTGTAAAAAACTAATGGTAAAGTACTGCTTTTTATTTTGAATGAGTTCAGAGCCACTGAAACTCTTCATCTGAAAGACTTAAAACACACTAGAAAATTGAGCTTACAAAGTTTTTAAGTATACCAGACAATTTTATGTGTAACAAATATACTGTTTCAGCAAACACACACACAAAATGATGCAAGTTTGTATGTATACTTTCATAATATCCCATGTTACATAGTTTATTTCCAAAACACTTACTTCTTCACTTGCTTAACCTATTACTTTAAAAAAAAATTTAGTTGTCGATGGACCTTTGTTTTATTTATTTATTTATATGTGGTGCTGAGAATTGAACCCAGTGCCTCACACATGCTAGGCAAGTGCTCCACTACTAAGCCACAACCCCATCCCCTAACCTATTATACTTTATCTTAAAGGCAAAAAAGTGTGCTCAGGTTTTTTTTTTTTATGTTGTTTGTAAAAGAAAAATGCTTAGTTCATCTTACCCTCAACAAGTCTTTTGGAGGATGTTGTAAACTTGTAGAGGGTGTTGTAAAGCAGTAGTGACAGGGAGAGAGGAAGAAGTAAGAAATATTTTTTTGTTAGAAATACTATCAAGGTCACCATTCATTTCATTCTTTTACAAAATAATACAAAGATTCTAAGTAGACATTAAAATCCATAAAGACTCTAACGTGGAACACCTAAACTATGTCACAAAGACAAGTAAGGAACCAACCACTGCTAAGTCGCATTTCCCTTATGGGACTTCAAGGTACTGAGGGCATCTGTAGTCAATGACAAGAAAGCATACAATCACAGTTTTGGAACAACTCAAATACCCTATCTCTTTCCATACATGTACTTTCTTCCCCCACCCAATTTTTGAGACAACAGCATTAAACTGTTTGCTACATTCTCAGAGACTGAGGCCACCTTTTTTTCCCTATTAATTCTATGTCTAGAAAGTTTCAAAAGTTTAATAACCACCACACACACACACACATACACAAATACCATAAGAATATCCTGTTGTTCCACCTCTAAAACTTCTTCAAAACTCAAAGCACAGAGACACATAACCCGCCCTTTCTGCCATAAAATAAACCCTGAACATCCCCATCACCACCACCACAAGCATCCACTTCCAAATAACCAACCCAGTTCAAGGCCGTGGTGTTGTTAAGGTTAGAAGATGAGCAAGTCAAGAAGAAAACAGGTTAAAAATGCGGGGAGAGAGAGGGAGCCGGTGGTTTGGGTGAAGGCCGCTCCCAGCCAAAGCGCGACCCCGGGAAAGGCAAGGAGCGCTCGCCTCGCTCAAAAACTTGAGGGTCCCTAGCAACGAGTCCCSCGAGGCCAGCAACAGGCCAGCCGGGAAGCCGCGCCCGGGGCCTAAGGTTCCAGAGCCCCTTCCTACCGCGCCTCTCCCTCCGCCGCGATCCACACAGCGCAACCCAAGTGGGACTTCAGTTCAGTGCTCGCTCCCCAGCGCTAACAGCTCAGCAGCCCGCTGCAACAGTTTGGGCAAATAAAGCTTCACGCGGCGGCCCTCGGCGCCGCGCAGTGACGTCAGACAGACGCTGCGTCCTCTAAGCCAATGGCTAGAAGGCCACTGTGGCGGCCTCCGTACAGGGTTGCCCAGGCAACCCAGCGCCGCTAGTACAAAGGTCGACTCGGGAGCCAGAAGCGCTGTCCCTGGTGACGAATGCRTCACATCAGAGACGTTTTCTAAATGAGAGTTTCAGAGAGCAGAGGAGATGACAAGCTCCAGTCCCCTGACCTCCAGGCTTCTCCAGGTCGTGTGCTTAACTCAGCTTCTCTCCAACACCCAGTGTTCTCCCACTATCTTGCCTCCAGTTCTCTTGAGAGCTGAGGACCGAACTGTCCCAAAGTCATCTCCCTGCCCTATCCAGCTCATTGTACTTTAATCCACGTGCTATGATATGCAACGGCAAACTGAATCCCTATTTTAATAGAAAAAAAAATGCTCTTGTCATCCGAGTTACTGTTATTTTAACTAAACCAATGGTACAGAAAAATGTGTGAACCGGCTATTCTATCAAGAAAAAATTGGGTAGTCTTACTTAGTAAAAGGTTCAAGCTCTTTTAGACCTATACACTGAACTGTAGTATCTTCTGTGGTCAACCCAAAGCCTTAACTTTTTTGCTCAAGCAACTCCTAAGTATATTGGCATTGTCTGAACACTCTAGGCTAAGCAATTCTTCCATGATCTTTTAGCTCCATTTTGCTATCACCCCAAAATCATCTTTAGTGGGCTGTGAGTTTCTTCCCCATAAGGACTCTGTTTCTGTTTTATATATCGAGCTTCTAGCATGTTGTCTTAGGTGATCAGGAAATGTTGCTTGACTGCATAAAATGAATGAATGAATTCTGTCCATATTTATTGGAACTAATGTTCTGGGAACCTTATACTCTAAGGTATCTTAATTTAAAATTTATTAAAACGTATTTACCTATGTTACGTACTGCACTAAAATTGACTTCATTGCTTTTCTATTTTCAATACCTAGCACAAAGTGTGTTTAATCCAATGGTTTAAAAATTTTTAAAAAATGTTTGAAAATCCTGCATTTCAGCTCTTTTTACCCTATTATTTTTCTTTTCCAGATTCCTTCAACCCTGTTATATCTTTTTACCTTGAGTATCAGACTCAGCAAAATATGGCTCTTGGCCTTTTAGCCCCTTTTTCCTTGTGAATAAGAAGGAATTTTACTCAACACTGCACTACAGGGGTTTTCATATGCTCTGAAATTGAGCTMTCTAGGATTGAAACTCATTTCCACCCTTTGTCAGCTATGCGGCCATGTGCAAAACCACCCCTCTAGGCCTAAATTTTCTCATCATCTTAGAGTGCTTGTGAGCACAAGTTCTCGACACATAGAAGTACTGAATGAATATTCAGGGGAAAAAATCAAATTTAGGACATTGTGAGTTGCGTAAGTCTCAAACTATGACTTAAAATATGAAATAAGGACCACAGATAGTGTCATAATTTTCAGGCCTTTATAATAACCAAAATTACCTATGTAAGCCTCTCCTAAGCATAACTGAGTAGCCTCTTCTAACATTTCTGTCTTCATTTTTAAACATGAAAAACTAGGCTCATTGAAATTTTAACCTTGTCTTGGTCATGATGATTTGAAAAGAGTGTGAGGCATCCAGATGAAGCTGACTTACAGGCACTTGGATACAGCCATTTAGATGACAGGAGAGAGGTCTGAGCATAATTGTAGATTTTAAAGCTATCAGCGTTTAGTTGATAGAGTTGTAGGGGTAGATGAGGCCAAGACGAATATGCAGTGTGAGAAACTAGAGCACTGTGTGTGGACACACATCCTGGTTTAAGGCTTCATTTTGTATTAAAGGGTAAGGGAGGGATGGTAGCATATGTGCATTATGGGGAATGAGTCTGAAAACACAGAATACCCTATGTATATTTTATTTTCCCCTAYAGATCCATTCTCCACCATTTTCCTTACTGACTGCTCTGGGAAACTTATTTGTATAAACAACATCAACAAGGCACCATGATCCCCATACTCTCTTGTTTGGGTTTGACTAATGGAGAAAACTAATAACAGATTACAGAATTAGGGGAGAGTTAAATCAAAGCATCCATTTCTCTGCTCCCATTCCCAGAAGTTTCCCTAGGGCTCTCTGTATCTCTAAGTGAAGGTGACAGCTCCTTTCTATTGTGGTTTAAATGTTTGTGTCCTTCCAAAATTCCAATTTTGAAATCCAGACCCCCAAGGTGATGAAATTAGGAGATTGGGCCTTTAGAGATTGATTAAGTTTGGGGATGGTGAGCTTATTAATATTATTAGCACCTTTTAAATAGAAGCTTGAGGGAGAACTTTACCTCCTCAACCATGCAAAGACAAATAAAGAGTGACCAACTAATCCACAAAATGGGCCCTTACCTGACACAGAACATATTGGTGATTTGATCTTCAACCTTCATAACAGTGAAAAATATCTATTGTTTTTAAGGCACCCAATTGTGGAATTTTGTTATTGCAGCCTGATTAGACTATGACACTTTTCCCATGGCCAACTCAAGAACTAAACATAAAATTGAAGACACTACTATTTCTCAATTACTGTGCTCTCTGTGATATTTCCTTATACATTTATAAAAATATCTTCAAATTGTCCTATTTTAGTATGTTAATACATTTTATATTAACATTATTAATTAGATAATAATTCTAAGCAAAGTTAGACACTCAGGATAATATTTTATCATTGTTTGATTAACTTGTGATTTATGGTTTGACTAACTGCATTTTACTAAATGTTTAGTAACCAGGCATTTTAAAAAAATCATCAGTCGTATTAATGGCTTTGTCTTAATTACTGTAGAGAAAAATCTCTTCCCTTTTGTACAAATTACAGACTGAGCAATCATTCCCAATGATTATTCCCAAGTCCCATCAACAGGAAATGAGATACAAGACATTTTCTGAGTAATTTCTAGTTTATCCTGTTAGGAATCCCAGACATCATCATTATAAAGTCATTAAAAGCACTTACATATGGAAAGAATTAAGCAATGGTGGTGGCTCCTCAGGTGAAAGCAAATGAGATCAATGTGGATGAGCATACAGGGCCACATGTTCAATAGACAAATACTGCAAGTCACAGAGAAATTTTTCAATTTCCAAGTATGCATATTTTTTAAATTGTAAAAAGAAAATATGAAATTGATTTTAATAATATATTTTATTTAATACTATTTGTCCAGATGTATTAACATTTATATGTTAGAAATATTAACATTATTAGGGTAATATTTTTCTTTCTTGTTATGCTAAATCTTCAAAATCTGGTGTATATTTCACACTTACATTACAATTTAATTCATACGAGCCACATTTCAAGTCCTTAAGAATCACATATAGCTAATAGTTACCATACCGGATAGAAAAAACAGAGATCTAAGGCCACAGAGTTAGACAAATATGGAGCAAAGTAAAGAAATGTATCAAATAGGTACAGAATATTCATTGTATGTAAAACACACTATTAGATATTTGAAGATTTATACCTATCAATTGGCATGAACCTCAGATCCCAGTCAGTGGGAAGTATCAACTTTCTTTTTGATTTCTTTCTATAGAAGAAACTTTCTTGGAATTATGTGGGTAGAGTAAGGCTTCAAAGAATGAGTCATCTGATTCTTGGTCATCTATCCTCTATCCACATATGCTTAAGTCTCATCTCAGGTTCTCTTTGAGAAGTAATTCTATTTTCTTCTGAAATACCCTGAAAAATTTATTTTACTCTTCTAAACTGAAATGTCAGTAATCCATCTGTTAGGTTCTATCCTGTGGACATTCTGGAAACCTCTGAGGCTTCCTTAGTGTCATTTGCCTAGATACACTTCAGGGCCGTTTCTTCTCATCCTGACCCTCTCTAGGTTCAGGGGTATCTAGAGCCTTATTAGTTCAGGGTCATTACCCTGGAGTAGGAGGAAGGCTGCAAGGACAGAGTATAGATTTTCACTTAGTGATGGCACCTTCTAGCTCTTCCAAATAATGTTTGGGCTTGAACTTGGCTTTTGAAAGTTCAAAGTCAGGAATTTGACTCTCATTGTCAACATAGGGAATTTGACTCTCATTCTCAACAACCTTTTATTACAGCACACCTTCTGGAGGAAGCATAAAATGTTCTAACTGCAGTGTACATAGAGGAAATCATGGTGTGGTAGGAAAAATTATTTTACAGAAAAATTTTATTACATTAGTATATGGCTGATTTTAAGACTTTTGTATAATTGTCCAGTTTTATTGAGGTACAATTGATAAATAAAAATTGCATGTTCTAAAATATGTATATATTATAAAGTGGCAATCAATTAGGCTAGTTAATATATCCATCACATCACATAATTTTATACTGTGTGTATATGTTTAGTAAAAACATGTAAGATCTATTCTCTTAGCAAATTTCAAGTATACAATACAATTTTATTAACTAGAATATCATACTGTACTAGAGATCTCCAAATTTATTTGCATAATTTACTTGAAATAATTTGCATAACTGAAACTTTGTATCCTTATTTAATATCTCTCATTTCTCCTATCTTCAAACTTCAGGTTTATTTTTATTCTGCGATATCATTTAGAATAAAATAGCATTTTACAAGTATCTTCACTCTAGCCCATTAAATTGAGGGTTAAAGATAGGTGAGAAGGAAATGGGATTGCTCAAATATATATTAGAAATTGAACACTAACCACTACCAGGATTCCATTTTTTAATTGGTAACTTATAGAAGGACCTTTATGTCATTGCTACTCCCAGAGTGGTTCTCAGATCACCATTAGGTCATCACCTAAGAAGTGACTAGAACACAGACTCTCAGGTCTCACCCAGATCTACTGAAGTGGAATCAAGATTCCCTACATGAGCAAATAGAGTACACAACTTAAGAACTGATTTAAGCATGTATGAAGGAAAATAGGTGATGATACTGAATGATTCCTGTTAAATCAGTATAAAAATCCAATATCAGAAAGAA